CTCAGGACCAGCCACGTCCCTGGGAAAGGACTGAGCAGGCTGACTAGGAGTGGGGAGGGGGCTCCTGTCCTATTTTCAGTCCACTTATGCAAAAGGCTTCAGCTCTTCCTGTTCTCTGTCCCTTTTTCTGGCTCCTCACCATCCCCAGAGCCCACTTCTGCCTGGCACTTCTGTCCCCAGATATCCCCATAGATGACTCCTTCACTTCCTTTGAATTATACTCAAATGTCATCTCAAGGGGCCCTCTCCTGACCACCAGGACTAAACAGCAACTGTCCCTTCCACTGCCAGCTACACCAGCTGCCCTCTTCCCCTTACTCAGCTTTCTCTCTCCATAGCATTTCTCGCTGTCTGCCGTTCATTCATTCATTCATACATCTGCAAATGTTAATTGAGCACCTGCTCTGTGCTAGGCACAGTTCTGGGTACTGGAACTCAGCAGCAGACACATGCGATATGTATTTGTCTACCATCTGTCTCCTTATGCTAGACTATAACCTCGATGGGGAAGAGACTGTGTATTTTGCTCAAGTCACTGCCTGCCCATCACAACCTTCTGTGGTAGGTATTATCATTTTGCAATTTTAGAGATGAAGAAACTGAGATTCAGAGAGGGGGAAATGACTCTCCTGAGGTTACGCAGCGAGCCAGTCAGGAGCTGGTCTGACTCCAAAGTCCTTCCTCCTCCCCAGCCACATGGTCTCCGAGGTAGCCCAGACGTGTGTGAAAGCTGTGTAGAAATCCACCAGGGGTGAGGAGGAGGGTCTTACAGGCTGAGACCAGCTGGCTCTGCCTCACTACCCATGGGCACCCTGGGCACCGGCAGCTCCTCAGAGACACCAGCTTTGCACGTCTCAGAGCCTTTGCCTTAGCTCTCCTCCCTGCCTGGAGTGCCTGTCCCTTTGGGTCTAACCAGACTACCCTAGTCCTCGGCCAAGGTTTAGTACAGCCCTCTCAGTGAAGCCCACTTAGCTGCTGCTCCCTAACCTTGGTGCATGATCTCTCCATGTTCATCATACCGCATTGTGACTGCTCCCCCTTCATCCTGATTCCCCACTCTCATTTCCATCCCTGCTCGGGGGGGGGCCCACTCTATTTCCTTTATTTAATACACAATCTCTCTGAGTCACAATCCTCCTGCCTCAGCCTCCTGAGCTGCTGGGATTACAGGTGCATACCACTTGCCCCCTGGCTTTTAGATCTACTGAGAAATAGGGACCAGCAGTTGGTGTAATTGCTATGTCACTGGACTCCCATGTAGTCGACTGTGGTTTGAGTCCCAGACCTGGTGGTGGGTTAAACTCACACCGGGCGCGCGTGTGTGTGTGTGCCCAAGATCCCGAGAGGAGAATGGAGGAGAAAGGATTGTGGTGTGGCCATCCCCCCGGCGGTGATTTCTCACTTTCTGTCTCTTTGGCTCTTTCTTTCTTTCTTTCTTTCTTTCTTTCTTTCTTTCTTTCTTTCTTTCTTTCTTTCTTTCTTTCTTTTTTTTTTTGGAGAGATTTTCACTGTAGGGCGTTGTCGCCCGCCCGCC